TATTGGAGAAGAGTATTGAATGTTCCATGGACTGCCAAGAAAACAAACAGATTCATCCTGGAGAGGGTTAAACCAGGCTACTCCTTGGAGGCAAGGATTCTGGGGCTTCGTCTGACACACTTTAGACATGTTGTAAGGAGGGACAGGTCCTTGGAGAGGGACATCATGCTTGGGAGGGTGGAGGGACAGCGCAGGAGGGGAAGACCCTCTATGAGGTGGATTGATTCAGTGACTGGGGTAATCGGATGGGTGTGTCAGAGGCAGTGCAATTGGCACAGGATAGAGCACGGTTTAGGGCTGTTGTACATAGGGTCACTATGAGTTGCAAGCAACTTGATGGCACATAACAACAACAACAACAACCCTATACACAACAAAAGGAAACACTGCCTCATCCAACACCCTCACTGTGTCAGTCCATTCTGTTGAGGGTTTTCCTCTTCTTCACTAATCTTTTACTTTACCAAGCATGATGTCTTTCCCCTAAGATTGGCCTCTCTTGTTAGCATGCCCTAAGTAGATGAAATGTAGTCTTACTGTCCTTACATCTAAAGAGCATTCTGACTACACTATTTCCAACACAGATTGGTTCATTCTCTTGCAGTCCATGATATATTCAATATTCTTTGTCAACACCACAATTCAAAGCCATTAATTCTTCATATGCCTTCCTTTTCATTGTCCAATTTTCACATGCATAATAAGCAACTGAAAATAGCATGGTTTGGGTCAGGCACTCCTTAGTCTTCAATATGATATCCTTGCTCTTTCACACTTTAAAGAAAAAATTTGCCATAGATTTTCCTAGTGGAATACATTGTTGGGAGCATTGGTGGCCTACTGGCAAGAATCTATGCTGCAATCCCAAAGGCACGCAGTTCAAATCCCACCAGCTGCTCCGTGGGAGGAAGATGAGCAATCTCCTCCCATGTGATCAATTGCCTCTGAAAACCCACCACATGATCAGCTATGGGTCGGTTCTGACTCAACAGTACACAACAACAATAACACATTGTTTGATTTTTCTGACTGCTGCTTTCATGGGAGTTGATTGTGAATCCAAATAAAATTAAATTTTTGACAACTTCAATCTTTACTAAAATGTATATTTTTTTAAAAAATAGATAGAAATACACCAAAAGAATATAATTACTGTCATGCTTTATAAAATCTAAAGGAAATATAAAACAAAAAATACATACTGCATAGTATAATTTTTTATATGCTTGAGCTTATTTCAAATTTTCTGCAATATATGTATTAGACTCATAAATACCTCCTGAAGTTGTAAAGAAAGAATATGAGGTAGGTAGAAAGGCAAATATTGGTTTAAATCTCAGCTCTGCCATTGACAAGACTTGTAACCTTGGGAAAATTGTTGAAGTAACTATCAACTTCCTTTTATTTATAAGGGTAGTAATTATTTCTTCCTAACAAAATTATGTTTTAAATTAAAAAGGACCATTTGTAAAAGCTCTAACATAGACAACTTTTTCTCTCTCTTTTGTTGTTGTTGTGTACTGTCAAATGCAGTTGAGTATCTGGTGGATTCAAACCATGCACCTTCGGGTGCAGCTTCTTGACAGTAAGACACTAGAGCTCCCTCATAAATGTCTTATAAGAAACAACAAGGAACTCATGAAATATTATTCAAAATGGGTGACCCTGAAGGACATTATGCTGAGTGAAATAACTCAGATACAATAGGACAAATTCTGCATAGTGCCACTGTTGTAAAACGGGACTGACATCAGAGTTGGGGGGAGACTGAGAAAGATGAGATAAATTATATATACTGCATTGAAACAGATGAGAGAGAGAACTGTTTAAAAGGGCTATGTTGTTGTTGTTATTTGCCATCGAGTCGCTTGCAACTCATAGCGACCCTGTGTACAAGAGCCCTAAATGCTGCTCTATCCTGTGCAAACCTCGCCATCTCCAACACACTCACTCCCACCACCCCAACCACAGAATCGAGCCATTTCATCGAGGGTCTTTCCTGCGCCACCCCTTCACTCTCCCAAACATGATGTCCCTCTCCAAGGACCACCCCTCCTTGCAACATGACCAAAGTATGTCAGA